CCCCCCCCCCCCCCCCCTCATCGACGATGCGGCGGCAGGACCATCCTCTGGGAAGACGTCGGCGCCGTCCGCAGGAGCTCTTCCCTCCGCGAGGGCGCCCAGCTCCTCTCGGACCTGGCCGACCGCTGCAGCCGCCTGTACGACACGTCCGCCCTGTGCCCCGAAACCGTGGAGCTCCGAAACGGGGTGCAGACCGGGGCCATGATCGCCGCCGCCGCCGCGAGCAACGAGTGCTCCGTGGGGACGCACTTTGTCGAGGAGGAGGACGACGAGAACGACCACGGGCAAGCCAGGGCCTAGACCGAAGTGGCGGAGCGTCGTGTCGTGTGGCGTAGCGCCCCCACCGCCAGCACGTGGACGTTTTTCTGTTCCCACCGCTCTATAACACTTGGACGACTGGCGTCGTCGGGTCTTGTCGCATCACGCGCCCATAGCCGACATGTGGACGACAGATCATGTGGTTCGTTCCCATGGCCGAAACATGAACGACTGACGTCGTAGTCTGTTCCCACCGGCAACATATGGACGCCTAGTGTTTTTGTCAAATGTCTGCCCCTACTTTTTTTTGGTCTTGTCTTTTTTGTCGAGTTTGTATTTCGTGTTGCGCGAATGTTTAGGCGTTGTGGTAAGCGCACAATCGTGAAGATGACCCGTGTTTTCGTCTTGTAATAGCGTAGGCGTTGTGTGCGCGGTCACTCAAACACATATCGTAGTGACCGGTAGTTTTGGGCTACTCACTTTGTGTCTAGTTGGCTTTAGGTTTTTTGGACGTACGGGTTTGCGAGTGTACTGTAGTACATCGGTGTCTGCGTTGCATACATGATCGGTTAAGTACTCGGCCTCGCAGCCACGGTATGAGATGGTACAACGCCGTCGGCAGTACCCACACAGTAATACGATGGTTTGGTTTTAGAAATAAGTAGGACGCGAGGGGAGCTCAATTTTTATGTCAACATGGGCCCAGAGAATTCCACAGAAGACTTTGCACGAAAAACCTTGGATGATGACGGAGGGCTGTGGGCATTGAAGGCCTCGCTCGTGCTTACGAATATCCTTTGCGCTTCTGTCGCTTGCCGGTTGTTGGGCTGTGTTCACGCGAGAAAGAGGCGTGTGGCGATGGGAGGGGCGTATTGCACACTTGTCAGGCTCAACATAATAGTGGGAAGATGGTAAAGGTGTTGCCAAGCACAGGGAGAACGGATCTTGGTGACATGTGCGTATCTGTTGAAAATACGGTCGTTGTTGTAGAGGACACCTGTCCGTGGGAAGAGTAGGATTTCCGTTTACTATTTTGCGTGAGTCGTGGGAAGGTAGGACGACCATAATGGTGAAAAAAAATCCAAGAGATGGAAGAGACCCCCGTCAGCGCACATGCGCGTAGGTTCGTGGAAGACAACGGATCGAGATAGCCTTGACGTGTTCCGTATGCCTTTCGCCATTTATTTTTTTTTGCCAGGGTTATACAAACAGCACAACGTGTTCGGCCGGGGAGTTTGGGCCAATGCTGTTCTGACATTCCTCCACCCTACTTGCGTCCGGTCCAACGCTTTCCACGCAGAAAGGCTGTGTCGCACCATCAACAGCAGTCGTCAGAAGAGTCGTCGACTATTCGGCAAGAACAGGTAAAAATGGTGGTGTCGTTTTATTGCTGCTATGCACCCGCCTCACGAAGCAAACGCATGGTTGCAAGCAGGGGGGCGATAGTGTCGACATTGTTAATCTCGGCATCCTGGTCCACAACACTCTTGTGTTCCCCGTTCAGGTGAAGAATTCACACTGCCACACAGAAGCGACATACAGCCGGCTACAAGTTTCCCATACAGACCAGAGGGAATCTCAAATATTCAACACTGGAAGAACAACGAAATAAGACGCAACGCTCTTTTAACCACAGTAGTAGTCGCGTCGCGCAGCGAGATAAGCGACGGGAAGAGGCGACACAACATTCGCATGCGTATACGCACGCGGAGAGCTACACACCACTAAAGATCGGTTTCGCAACGCCTGCCAGCCACCGCCACGTGAGGACACCAGCGTTTGCGCTGAACTCCTGCATTATCGTCCACATGTACACTGCGTATGATTCGCTTGCCGATGAGCAACACAAAATAAAAGGCAGAATACGAGCTTCAGCTAAAAACGTCGGGGAGAGATTACACTGCAAAGGAACCCCCATCGTGTGTAGCTGGGCCGACAGCAGCAGCTCGCGTCACGGCACAAGGCCAAAAGGGTAAGTGACTCGTCGCCGACGCGCGCATGCGACATACTACATAGTGTCACACCGCAAAATTTGCGCCTCACTACTGCTGCTGATGATGTAGCTTCCCAGCAGGTACATCTATCTTACCATAAAAAGGACAAAAAAGTAAAGTGCATCCCCCCCCGCTCAAAACAATCGTTAAAGTCTTAAGTCTATATGGTAGCGTCTCCGCAAAGCATCTCGTCCACAACGGGGATAGCATCCTGCACGCGGAACACGCAGCGAAAGACAAGACGACAAGGAAACGGGGAGGGTGGAGCAAGGGTTGAGACAAGCACGATGCACAACCCGTAAGGATGACTGAAAAGCATATTTCACACTGTCCAGGCCTGTTGCCCGACACAAGTTTACATGATAAAAAGGATTCGTGCTCTGCCCTACGCATATGATTTTCGTGGGCCAACCAGTCCGCACAGAAATCGCTGATGTCAGCCGCCATCCCACGATATCCTGCACCCGCTCCACCGGGGTTTTTTGTTCCTGTTCCGGAAAATATTCCAAGCAGCCATGTCAATGCACCGCGTATGCATACCTGCTCTTCTTCCTCGTCGATGAGGAAGTACTTCCCCGGCGTATGCTCCTTCGCCAGGATCAGTATCGGCTCCAAGAACCGCACGATCAAAAATTCCTTCCGAAACGAACAACAAGCAAGCATGAGCGGCAGCGGCATCGCCGAGCAAAAGCGGAGGAGAATGATTCAGGGGTTGTGCTATATGGTGCTGGGGTCGGAAGCTCTTGGGGCACACTTACTGGTCTGTTTCGAGCCGGGGGGGAAGACAAGGACAGGGTTGGTTGTGACAAAAAAAGACAAGACGCAAATGTATGTACGCGCCTGTCCTGTGGCACTGCGTCGGGGTTTGGACAGGAAACAGCTACAGTCCGGGCGCAGGCCGCAAGGAGCACTTCAAAACTACCGAAAAAATAGCGCGACAAATCTGTGACTGTTTTGGCATCCAGGACTGGTCCCTGAAACGCTTCTTCAAGGAGGTGCCTATCAGCCCGGCAATCGGCTTCTGCTCAAATCCAAGGCATTTGGAACCGTAAAAACCGAAAACGACCTTCGGACTTGAAAAGTGTTCATGTTCAATGGGAAATCGACAGAGGACTGAACATGACCAGTTCTAACAGCCCGATTGGTTGGGCTAGTTGGCAGTTGGGTGAGGCAGGCGGGAATGGTGTTGTTGGGCATCACCGCAACAGACGAAAGAGCAGTCTCCATCCAACCCCTCCCTTTTTCGTCAAGTTCCATCCAACGCATGCCCCTCTCTCCGCCCAACAGGGTCAAAACCTAAATATTACGTACCTCCCCTTCCAGCAGAAACTCGCCCAGGAGCTCTACCTCATCCGCATCCTCTTCGTCGTCGTCGTCATCCTCCTCCGCCTCCCCCACCTCCTGCTTCTCCTCGCCCCCCTCGGAGTCGCCCCCCTCGGCCTCCATATCTTTAGCCTCCTCTACCAGCTCGTTCAGCCCCTGGACTGTGAGGGTGGTCGGTGTTCTGCCAAGGAGAACGGGG